CCTACTTCCGTAGTGATACTGCCTCGGAAACCCAAGGAGGGGTCGCTATGAGTCGGGGCCGACTCGACGGCACATAACAACAACAACAACAAGGGGAGAAAGGGAGAAAGGGAGCACTGTTTGGGAAGCACTGAGTTACTAAGTTTTTGTTTATGGTGATGGAAAATTTGGCATTAATTAAAGGCAACAGTTGCATGACATGATTAATGTAATTGATATCACTAAGATGTACACCTGAGAAAGGTTAAATTGGTAAATTCTGTGTTTTATTTTTACAACAAAAGGAGCAGTTGCTGAGGCTGCATATGTATATATGCAACCAAACACCTTATGGGATTTGTCTTCCTGGTTTGGAGATTTAGGGGTATGGTTTCATGAGACATCCCAGTCAACTGGCCTATTACTGATTTTGGTGTTTTCGTTCTAGCTCCAAGTTCAGTGAGTAGTGCCTTAGGTCATGAAAGATTGCAAGTGGCCATCCAATATGCAACCATTGTTCTCTATTCACCTGGAGCAGCAGAGGAAGGTGATGCAGTAATAGGAGGAGGAACTGGAATGTGTAACTGCTTGCATGAATTAACTGTCTCCTTTTCCATGAAACAGAAGAGCTGTATGGTGCCCAGCTACTATTATAGAATGTTCTGATCAAAGATTCTACAGAAGAATTCTAATCAAAGTGCATGGAGGGGGAGTGGTGCAGGAGAATTTCAAATTCTCATGGCATCTAGACTTTCTGGAGTCATGGAGGCTGGATGAACACCTGAAACTATTGCCCTGAGATAAACTATCACTAGAAGTTATCTTTAAACCAAACAATGGCTTATCTTAGTAAGTAAAGAATGCCTGATTTGAGCATTGTGCTCTTTTAAAGAATTATCTATATGGGATCAAATTGACATCAACAACTTGAAAGGTTACATGAATTTACCTTAAGCAGTGATTTTATCTTAATAATGATGGAATAAATTGGAAAAGGATATTAAGAACGGTTACACAACCTGAAGAATGTAATCAGTGTAACTAAAATGTACATGTGGAAATTATTGAAATAGTTTGTTTTGCTGTGTATATTTTCACTAAAAAAAAAGTTTTAAAATAAACTCCAGAATATACAGAAAATTATTTCATTGATAAGACACACCATTATTTTATGTCTAACCAAGAAAAAAAATGTTGCCAATTATAATTGTTAGATGTCATCTGTTATAATAAACATCCTGATTTTAAAGTTGTTAAAATATGAAAACATGTGTGCCTTGGAATAGATTAAATATGATAATACAAATCAGGATCTAGAAGTCACTGGACAAGTGGTTAAATGATTCTACAAAAGGTTTACTGACAACACTAAACCCACACATTGTAAATGTTGTTGTTATATGCCGTGCAGTTGGACCTGACTCATAGCAACCCCTCCTTGGGTTTCCGAGGTAGTATCACTACGGAGGTACATTCTCCAACCTTCCTTCTGAGGAGTGGCTGGTGGGTTTGAACTGCCAGCCTCCTGGTTAGCAGTCAAGTGCCTTAGGCACTACACTACATTGTAAATAGGCATTGTGGTGGTTATGTTTGTGTGTCAACTTGGTGGGCCTGGTTGAGTGGTTGGGCAGCTGGTGGTAGTTACTCCCCATGAGACTGGCAATCAACTCCATGGTGGAATCGACCACAAGCAGCTGAGTAACTGCTTTGGGTATGTGGTCTGCTTCCCATATATAAGCAGCAGTTTTGGGAATGGTCTCTAGCTTATGGCACACTTGGACCCTGCGTTTCGCTGTGTGGTTGTTCAGCAGCCTGCCATGCTCTGTAGACCTTGGGACTTACAATGGACTTGAATTAATGCCCCGCCATGTGGGTTGGTAACATTGGGACTGTGCCATTTTATTTGTCAACCATGGGTTGTTAGCCTCAGCAGCCAGTAGCTGCCTGAGTGAAGAGATGCCTCTAGCTTCAGGGGGCCGGGAACAAGAGGCAGAGCTGAAGCTCAAAGTCGAGGGGCTTTCACCCAGCCCCAAGAGCCTGGCACTTTGAACTTGGACGTAAAGCCTCCAAATTGTAAGAATAAACTGCTGTTTGTACAAGCTACCATTTGTAGTATATTCCTGTCAGAGTGCCACTATGTAACCAGAACAGGCATGATTAATAAAAGTTAAAATGTAGATATTTTTGAGGTAGTATTCCACCTCTGCAGGAGATAGGTGTGGCAGCTGTTGTTGTTGTTATTTGCCGTCGAGTCGCCCCCGACTCATAGCGACCCCTCCTTGGGTTTCCGAGGCAGTATCACTACGGAAGTAGGATTGCCCAACCTTCCTTCCGAGGAGTGGCTGGTGGGTTTGAACCGCCAGCCTTCTGGTTAGCAGTCAAGCGCTTTAGCCACTATGCTACCAGAGCTCCCGGTGTGGCAGCTAGCTTCATTAAATATTTACAACCTTGAAAACTGTAGGGGGCGTTTTTTGGGTTTTTTTTTTAAGTTTAAAAAATGAAATGTAA